GCCAAGGTCTCAGCTATAAATGCATTTCCCGCACCTACCACCAGAAGAGAGCTACGCCGTTTTTTAGGGATGGTTGGCTACTACCGTAGTTTCTGTAAAAAAAATTCTGCGGTAGTTGCTCCATTAACAGATTTGCTCAGTCCGACGAGAAAATGTGTATGGTCTGAAGATTGTCGTACTGCTTTCAACACTGCTAAAGCACTCTTATGTAGTACTCCTGTTCTTGCTGCGCCAGATTTTGAACGACCGTTTAAACTGGAGGTAGATGCAAGTGCCAGAGGTGCTGGTGCTGTTCTACTGCAGCAGGACCAGAGTGGAGTGGACCATCCTGTCTGTTATTTTTTCACGGAAAGTTAACAAATGTCAGACAAACTATTCCACCATTGAACAAGAAGCTCTAGCTTTGTTGTTAGCTCTGCAGTACTTTGAAGTTTATGTTGGTTCCAGTGCATTACCAGTGATAGTGTATACTGACCATAACCCCTTAGTTTTTCTCCACCGGATGTACAACCAGAACCAACGCCTTATGCGTTGGGCACTTGTAGTGCAAAATTATAATTTGGAGATCCGCCACAAAAAGGGGTTGGATAATGTGTTGGCAGATGCTTTGTCTCGTGTTTAAAGATCTAGGTTTTTTTGTTATCCCGTCAGGATGCTGTTGATCTTTGAATTTTGGGTGTTGTGATGCTACGTGTGTCGCAAACCATTGTGGTTTGCTCTTTTAAGGGTGGGAGCGTTACGGATACAGGTATCCTGTGTCTTTTTGTGTTTTTCCTCTCCTTCTGCCCTAATCACAGGTGTCCTGTATGTTCCTGATTGGTGGTCGTTGGGGTGTCTGCTGATTGCTGAGGTGGACCAATCAGTGGACATTCCTCTGCATTGCACCACCTGTTTCTGGTTTTTCAATCACACATCCCATTGTTTAAAAGCCGGTCAGTTGTGTTTGTTGTTAGAGACTAGTTCCGTATGTGAGTATGGATACTGTGGTGTCCTGTGTTTTGTGTACTCACTCATTTGCTGGTTACTCTGTTTGGTAACTTTGTTAGAGACTATTTCCGTATGTGAGTATGGATACTGTGGTGTCCTGTGTTTTGTGCACTCACTCATTTGCTGGTTACTCTGTTTGGTAACTTTGTGTGTTTCTGGGAAAAGGGGAATTTAAGCAAGTTGCCCTTGGGCGTACATTACCCGTAAGAAGAAAACTGTCTAAAAACATTAGTTAGACCTGAGCGGACCACCCACTGTAATTTTTGTATGATTAGCAGTAGCTTAGCGGTTCTTGAGGCAGGCGAGATCAGTTTAGGGGTGTTTTACACTATTGTTTCATTTCTTGGGTCCTGCTCAGCCCTTTTTTCCAAACCTTTACCGTGTGTTCAAAAATAAACCTTTTATGTTTGACGGTAGTTTATGGTTGTCGTGTAGTTTTTGATCTCACTGTTCCATGTCACGATTCTAATTTGCATGAATTATGTTACGGGTCTCTTGTCCATCCACCCTAGACATTTAAAGCCACGGGCTTCGTAACACTCTCTCCCTCTCAATCTCTCTCTCCTTCTCAATCTCTCTTGCTCTCTCTGTGTTTCTTTCTCTTTCCCTCTCTCCCTCTCTCCCTCTCTCTCTGGGCCTGTTACTAGTGGTGACAGCGTTTCTCCTCAGATGTCCTCTCTCCCCTGCCACCTGGAGTAGAGAGGGTGCTGCCTGGTTGCTCACTCACCTGCTGTGACTCAAACGAGCCAGTAGCCACACACACACTGTCATTCACTTAGACACATATTCATATTAATACATGCATATAAGGTAAAAGTATACCATACACTCTCCTTTGTTAGCATATATTAGCATATATAGTTGTATGCATAGTTATGACCATCCACACACAGGTCAATTTCAGGCGTGCTAGTGCTAACCCTGTTAGTGTCCTGTCCCACTCTGCAGAAGGCCCTGTTACAGTGTCCTGTCCCACTCTGCAGAAGGCCCTGTTACAGTGTCCTGTCCCACTCGGCAGAAAGCCCTGTTACAGTGTCCTGACCCACTCAGCAGAAAGCCCTGTTACAGTGTCCTGACCCACTCAGCAAAAGGCCCTGTTACAGTGTCCTGTCCCACTCGGCAGAAGGCCCTGTTACAGTGTCCTGTCCCACTCGGCAGAAGGCCCTGTTACAGTGTCCTGTCCCACTCGGCAGAAGGCCCTGTTACAGTGTCCTGTCCCACTCGGCAGAAGGCCCTGTTACAGTGTCCTGTCCCACTCGGCAGAAGGCCCTGTGAGTGTCCTTTTCCACTCAGCAGAAGGCCCTCATTCATATTGCATATCTCCACCCTGTCTCTTTGGCTCTCTCTCCTCCTCTCCCTCTCTCTACCTCCCTCTCTCGTTCTCGCCCAGTCCACTTGGCTCTCTTTCTCTTTCTATCCATCTCTCTCTGTCAATCTCTCTCTCCACCCTCCCTCCCTTTCTCTCCCTCCCTCCCTCTCTCCCCCTGAGCTCCCCCGCAGAGTGTGTGACAAGCTGACCACAGGAAGAAGAAGAAACAACAAAAAGCCCCTCAGTTTTCCCCCTTGAACACCCAGCATCCCTCTCCACACATACACACACAGAGACACACCACATTCACAACCCATGTGCAGCTTGCTCGGGGGTTGCCATGGAGACAGGACCAGGGCGAGAGGCAGGGAGGGAGTAGGAGAGGAAGAGAGAGGGACAGAGCGAAGATGAATGGGAAATGTTGGGGTGTACTCAATTGATCCCTGTTTTTTTAAAGCCATGGAGGGGCGTTTCTTAATACTCCTCCATACTCCTAATTGGCTTCCTTGTCTCTCTCTCTAAGCATAATATTTATTAGAGGACTAAAGATTGCAGGATAAACTGAACACTGGAAATCCCAGTCATCTCTCAATGCTGTGGATTTCTTTGACCAACGTTCCGTCTCAACAGCCTTCAGCAGGGTGGCCTAACCCCTTTACCTCCCTTCTCCTCCTCTTCCACCCCCGTTAGGAGGATGCGCGTGCGGACGTGGTGGACAGCCTGGTACGGGACATCCAGAACACCCAGTGTCTGCTCAACGTGGAGCACAGCGGCGTCACCTGCCCCCACGTCACACTGCAGTTCGCCGACTCCAAGGACGACGTCGGCCTCAGCCTGGTCAAGGAGGGCATGGTCATGGTGGACGTGCGGAAAGAGAAGCACCTGCAGAAAATGGTAGGAAAACGGCCGCACAGACGGAATTCTAAGAGATAAATGAACGTTTTCAGTTTTATGGTGAATTTGTCAGGGCACTATGGCCAAAACAGATGATATATGTACCAGTGCAAGCAATGGGCCATTGGGCCAAATGTATTAGTGTTAGAGTTGAGAAAAGGTAACAGTGACATGTGCCAGACGTTTTCAGGTCATAGTGACTATGTCAGGGCCAAAACATGATAGTGGGTGACAGTGTATGTGACTGGCTGGCTGTGAAGAGTCTATTTGAGCGAGGCTGTTAGCCTTATGCTACCATGCTAACAGATCAGTGTTTTGTTATGAATAAGTGCTACCATTTGGCTAAATGCTGATGTGTTTAGTAATCAAACATGAAGACAGATCTGAAGTGATGCATCTCTCCGATCCTCTCGTTTCATCTAGCGCTCAGCAGGACAGGCCCCTCTGACGGCGGCCATTTTGTAATGTCATAAAGCGCAGCTCGTTTGCCTTCCCTCATTATGCTAATTCAGCTGGCAGACTCAAAGCATCTCTGTAAATGAAAGATAAAGGCACAAAACTGAAATATTTATTCCTGGCGCAATTACCGTTCCTACACACCCCAACATTACTCCACTCTGTCATTTAGGTACAAATTGGCACACAGACACTCACACACACAAAGACACGGAAATGGGCTCACTGGTTGGAACACAAACACTCATAAACATATTTTACATTTACATTTTAGTCATTTAGCAGACGCTCTTATCCAGAGCGACTTACAGTTAGGGAGTGCATACATTATTTTTTTCATACTGGCCCCCCGTGGGAATCGAACCCACAACCCTGGCGTTGCAAACGCCATGCTCTACCAACTGTGTGTGTCGGGGCGGCAGGTAGCTTAGTGGTTAAGAGCGTTGTGCCAGTAAACGAAAGGTCGCTGGTTCTAATCCCCGAGCCGACTAGGTGACAAATCTGTCGATGTGCCCTTGAGCAAGGCACTTAACCCTAATTGCTCCTGTAAGTCGCTCTGGATAAGAGCGTCTGCTAAATGACAAAAAAAAAAAACTGAGCTACATCCCTGCCGGCCATTCCCTCCCATACCCTAGACGACACTGGGCCAATTGTGCGTCAGTCAATAAGTAACTGTATAGCGCTCTATTTGTCGCCAGGGAGCTCACCTTTGCCTCTTTAGTGCCACTATGAGACTGTAAACCTGTAAAACAGGCAAATAGAGCCATGCAGTCTGAACCCAGCTGTCCACTAAAACAGGCAAATAGAGCCATGCAGTCTGAACCCAGCTGTCCACTAAAACAGGCAAATAGAGCCATGCAGTCTGAACCCAGCTGTCCACTAAAACAGGCAAATAGAGCCATGCAGTCTGAACCCAGCTGTCCACTAAAACAGGCAAATAGAGCCATGCAGTCTGAACCCAGCTGTCCACTAAAACAGGCAAATAGAGCCATGCAGTCTGAACCCAGCTGTCCACTAAAACAGGCTAATGGAGCCATGCAGTCTG